GGCGATGTCTTTCATTCAGCCCCGCGAAAACAGACGTGTAAGGCTGGTATCACATTTGTCGTACGACAGATTTTTCAAGCGTATCGATTGGCTGTGGGATGGAAAAGTTCTCGAGTATCTAGAAATTTTCTAGTTTGTAGCCAATCAACACGCTTAACAAATTAGTCGCACGACATATGTAATAGTATCCTTAAACAATCATATGTTCGCGATGCAACCTTCTTCCGGACACGCGTTCGTCCACGCAACGCTATCGTGGATTACGGAGCCGTACAGATAAACTTAGGCCTGGTTTCACCAATGTCGCTTAACTTGAAGCTTAGCTTAATTCATTCTTTGTCTCTTTCTAACTGCTAGAAAGAGGTAAACGTGAATTAAATTAAGATTAAAGTTAAACGACGTTTGGTGAAACCGGACCTAAGGGCCAGTTTCACAAACGTCGGTAAACTGTTAATCTCAGGTTGATTCTCTGTCTCTTCTTAGACAACAAGATGGAAAAAGATAGGGAGTCAACTGAACTCTGGTTAACCGACGTTTGTGAAATTGGCCCTAACTGTCCCCTCAGAAAGAGCTAAGGAATAAGTGTAAGCTGCGATTAAAGTTAGGCGGCGTTGGCGAAACCGGACCTCAGTCGCCAATGTTTACGCTATCGGCGCGGCATAAGAAGGTTTTAATATAATCGGATTAGCGCGCGGTTAGGTCCTCGTAATCGCGACCGCGTATTTCGCGTAGAGCGACGTGAATTATGCGTTCGCAGGGCGCGTCGCGAATACGGTTACCGTCGTCGTATCCGCGCTCGCAAATACGGTGTCGTCATCGATATTCGCGGACGGAGATCCAACGTGTGCGGGTGAATACCTATTAACGAGGCGGGTAATAGCGCGGGAGTAAGCCGAGATGTAAATCGTCGCGACTGCGTAACTGCGTTTACTGTCTCTCGTCGCGTGTAATAAAAAAAAGATACTTCGCCGGCGCGCTCGCGAGGGGAATAAGACGAGACGTAATGACGAAATGTCGTTGCGCCTGGTGATAGCCTCTCGCGGATCCTCGCGTCGCCTCGCGCGTATATTTGTAGCCGGATCGTCTAGGATGCCGTAACGGATCATAAATATACACGGAAATACGATGAATATTCCCGCGGCGCGATATAAAGGCTGGCGGATAATGGCCGGGACGTGTTTACGATATCAAAGTGACACGCAAGAAGGCTAAATATAATTTAACGGCGCACTTTGCGCTCCGTCTTTAATGTCTATCGTGCATTACCGACGGCGACGAATAACTTTCTCATCTCGCCGATGATCCTTCAGACTGATGTACACACAGCGCCGTATAATGCGCCCCCGATAAATATGCAAATAAGAGCCAGCGCGGAATTTCCAAGTGCGACACATTCCAAGCCGCGATTCGGCATCGCTTCATTGTGCGATCGGGCAACGCTAACGCTCGCGACCATAACGTAATTGTATAAGGGATCGCAATTAAATCGAGTTTGCCGAGTTCGCTCTATATGCAGGATCCTTCTCCTCCACCTCTCTCCCCCCGCCCCCCTTTCATCGCGACGTAGATCCCGAAGAATCCGTTCGTCCTCGAGTTCCTAAGCAATTACGACAGTTTCCGAGAGCATTTCGCGATCGCCCGCAGTTCGGCGTCGGGGCGGCGACGCCGGGGATCGGGAGGATGGCAAGAAGAGTACGAATCCCCGGTCCCGTTCCCGCTCTCCACCCCGCGGCCACCCCCTTCAAGCCCTTCCGCGTCCATTGGCGAAGACCTCATACATATTAATGGAGATCGGATCGATTTTACTGCGCGCTCGCTTCTTGCTGTGTTTAGGGACATCGACGTTCCGGCGCATAAGCTCTTCGGGCCGCCCGCAATGGTTATTATGCCATTAACGTAATGAAGTTAGGTGGCGGCGAGGTGCCGCCGGGGGTGTCGGCGGTGGGCCCCGTCGCGGGAAAAACGCGCTGAAACACGGGCGAGCGGGAATCTTCGATGATGGACTGCGCGTATGTTTTCTTGCGTCGGACGCGGGCCGATCGATGGGCGCTAGTGCGGGCGGCCGATGAGCGTAATTATAGAGCCGGCGTTAAAGTGTGTAATTGTAAGCCATAGCGAACCGCGCGTACACACGGTCAGTGCGGCCACGTTGTTCCGTAACCATTACAATTTGCGAGCGTTTTCCATCGTTAACGATATAACAATTCGATCGTTAATAAAGTGAAACTTGAGTTATATCGGTCGTAAGGATTCGGCCGGTTGAAATACTTTAATGACGCTCTATCACCGCGTATAATTGTACATTAATCTATTATGCATAGAGTCGTTCCGCGCGGCATAAAGGTTTAAAACTCTCGGCCGAGCACGGGCTCCGTACGTGAGCGGTGATCGTCTTTTATGCATGATTCAGTAACGACAGTAAACGGTTTATAGACAGGCCGGGAACGTTCAGTCACACTATTACCAGATCGATGCAGCTGACGCGTTGGACATACGGTTGATATGTTTGTACATTGGAGAGACGAGTTCCTTGTGCCAGCACTCGATGCATACGGAGACTCGCCGTTAATGTTCCTCATATCAGCACTTAATGGGTCACGCAAATGTTCCCGCTTGTATACGTGGGCACCGAACAACGACGAGGTAAGAAAGTTCGGAAACTTTTTCAAGGGTTACTAATCGATACGCGTATACGAGTGATTCAGCGAGATCAAGTTATTTTGTAATATTTTCCCTTTAAACGAGACACAATGGGTTTTTCTCTCCCCCGACTTGTCGGAGGCAAGAGATATTCGACTGGACTTCCGGCTGCGATTCTCCACGCTAATCACGCGCCTTTCTCCGCTGGACGACACGAAGGACGTCGGAAGAAAATTCTGCAGCGTTCGATGCGCCGAACCGTGAAAGGATCTGCTCAAAGGCTCCTTTCACAGTGTCGTCGTCCTTTTGATCGCCGAAGATTCGGACGGCCGGAAGGACAGGGGCGTAAAGGGAAGCGAGCGAGACCAATTAGCGATTCGTGCAATTTTATCAAGCGAGCACCGCGTGATTCAACGAGGATGGATTAAGTCGCGCTACATGGCTCTCAATGACGGATTTAATTCTCCCGCTGGCGAATGTTTCACTCTGAAACGGCTACCGAAGACCCATTCGCGAAACCGGCTCGACCGCTATTTTAACACTGCGCAGGATTTACCCCGTGAAAGAGCACAGCGATCAATTCAATTCGGCGGAAAAATCGTGGCGAAAATACCTTCGTGAAGATATCACGATTACCGACTCTAATCGATAAATAAAAATTATTTCAAATGGTATATTTCATCAGATTGCCAGTATTGATATAAAAAAAATTGCAAATTTTAATCGACCTCAGCTGGCCACATTTATTGAATACGCCTTCGCAACGTTTCGACCTTTGGTTTAGGTCCTTTCCAAGTGAGATCCAGGAGTAAAAAATTATTTCGACATCTATTCGAAAGTATTTTTTTTTGTAGTGTCAGAATTACTTTCCGATTCTTTTTAATTTAGAAAACGGTCATGATATACGCGCAGGCTCTCGGAAGGATATCGTTTCATCCGTGCCGTCGTGAAAATATCACGATTACCGAATCTAACCGATAAACAAAAATTATTTCGACATCTATTCGAAAGTATTTTTCTGTCGTGCCAGAATTACCTTCGGATTCCGGTTAATTTGTAAAACGTTCATGATAAACCCACAGGCTCTCGGAAGGGTATATCGTTTCATCCGATCGTGCCTTCGTGCCTCAACGAGAAAATGGACAGGATCCCGCACAAAGGGTCACGCGCGCGATATCTCGCTGTTTCGCGTTTCCGTATAATATTCGACGAGTCCTCGTCGACGGGATTACGAGCACCGGGGATGGTATTCGCCCCGGCCGCGATACGTAATGCGATTTGCGGCGTATTCGCCGCACAAAAGATTACCGCGGCGAGTTCCAACGAGCCGTGTACACGGGATCTTGGGTGCGCCCGGTAATACTTCCGCTGCCTAATGCGGAAGAAGGGCCCTTTCAGCAGCGAGCAGTCTGAAGGTACCATTGCGCTCTCTCGGAATCTCGTTACGCGACACGTAATAAAATCATACGGGGATGGACGCGATCCAGTGCATCGTGATCGTGATATTCACCGACCAGATTTGTCTCGATCGATATAACTGAGGCAGGCTTGGATGCCGTCGAAACGAATGAATACTAATGACGATTAAAAGTTTCTTGTTATTCTTTGCTCGGTATGTATTTCCGTTGTATTTTTAGTAGACGATCTATTTAATTTCGCTACCTTGTACGTCTCGGAGATGGGATAGTTTTCCCTTTGTATAAAATATAATTATTCGCATCACGGGTATTGTAAGATAAATACTGAGATCTTTAGCTTTACGTCTTTAGATTTGCGCACTACTACACTGGGAAAAATTTCCATCGGATAAACCAATTAAATTGTGTCACCGATGGTTAAGTTTTCCGATTAAATTATGGATATATCCGATGAAATTTGATTGAAAAACCGATCATATTTTTCATCGGATATATCCATTTGTTATTATGTAATTGGATTATCCGCTTGTATTTAATCGGACATTTTTCTCAGTGTATATAAAAAAAATATATATACGCGGAGAGAATTTTTTCTTAAAATTTATCCTGAAAATCAGGTAATCGTGAGACATGGCATTTTGAAGAAGTTTATGAGAGTTTTTAAAATTTTATCTCACATTTTACTAGCAATAAACTTCTTCAAAATGCCATGTTGTCCCGCGACTACATGATTTTCAGGGTAAATTTTAAAAGAACATTCTCTCCTTGTATGTATATATTGTATACAGATAGCATATCATTTTCAATTCTTATTCGTCTTATTCAATAGGCGGCTGCAGCGCTCGATGCTACTTTCGATATCACATTTTAGCAAACGCAGAAATCGCATCGTAAAATAAAGAATATAGTCAGAACAGGTTTCATTGACGATGTCACACTTACCTGCGAGTGATTCCACATCTTCGGTTTTGGACTCGATCTCGCATTGCTGGTGGCGTTTCCGCTTGCGGAACTGTTGGAAATGTTACCGGGCGACGCAGTGGATTTGATGGACGGTTTTTGTGTCTTTTGAATTTGTGTGGTTACCGCTGTCGAGGGAGTCGCAGTCCGTTGCTGCTGCTGCTGCTGCTGCTGTTGTTGCTGCTGCTGCTGCTGTTGCTGCTGCTGCTGCTGTTGCTGTTGTTGCTGTGTAGTTGTCTGTTGTTGCTGTTGTTGCGTTTGCTGCATAATCTGCTGGATAAGCTCCAGCTGCTGCTTCGTGAGGCCATCGTTACTGGCGCCAGGAGATGTGGCGCTCTGTAAAATATATTTAACGGATATTTACATATATGAAATTGATGGAAAATTATCTTTAGAAATTGACAATACAGATTTCTATAGAAACGTATCCCTTTTCATCGAGGGGTAAACCGCTGATGGCATTGTGGTGCACAGATTTACAGCATTACTGGACATTAATAGGCAGTTTTTGGGCATTAGGCCTTGCTGGAGCATTATAAAGATAAAATAAGATAAAACAAGATAAATAAGATAACATAAGATTACAAGATAAAGTAATGCCCACTGGGTATTCTATACTTACATCTTACAATCTTATGTTATCTTATTTATCTTGTTTCGTCTTGTTTTATCTTTATAATGCCCCAGCAAGGCCTAAGGCCCAAAAAATGTCTAGTAATGCCCAGTAATATTAGTGGGCATTGGTGTATATGATTTTGATCAGTGGTTTACCCCTCGCTTCTCATTTGTCAATCTCCCACTACATTGCGTTCGAAATCTTCACGGTTTTTTCGATTTTAATAAATTTGAAAAAAAATCTACTTCATCGCCATCGTGACAAATGTGATGAATGGTAAATCGTTGCGCCGTTTATATTGAAGAGCAGGAGGCGTGATTGTACATTTGATCGAATCCGACCGCAGTTGGCGGAGTCTAGTCCGTTCCGTTCGTGATCGGTCGCCAACGTGGCCGCAAACCATAATCGATCATACCTTAATAGAGCATAACGTAGCCTTAGTGTCCGAGCCGAGCACACGTTCTGACAATAGTTAAACCGATCGAATTTAATAATTTACCGAACCGATGCAAAATTACGAGCGTAGTACCGCGCGCGGCGCCGCAATCTCGACATCCATTAAAACGAGCGCCGACTGTAATTCCACCCGTAAACGCGCTGCAATAAACCGTAAATATATCGTGCATCGATGTGTCCGTCAACTAACGCGCGACTACAATTACGCACACGTGGACGTGACGCCTAGAGTGCCGTGTGCGCTAATCCGTCTTTGTGTCCTATTAAAGCGGTCACCGTGCGCGGAGGTAAACTACATTATTGCACGTGGAAATGGCCTTATTTTCAATATTTCAAGAGTCCGATACTTTAAAATACATAAATAATAAATATTGCATTATCAAACGAAGAGAGAAAGAGGGAGAGAAAATGCAGATTTTTACTTCATCCATACCTTTCATCGTGATATACACGCGATAAATTCATGTATCTATTGTTATAGCACAGAATTGGGGGAAAAATGAAATTTTAATTTTATATTATTTTTCGGATTTAACGCAGGGGAAAAAGGGGTAAAAAGCAGCCATTACTAAATCATTTTCGCGCATTATACGTGGGTTTACGCGTTGCTTTATGCAACGCGGACTTAACGTCTACACGCTTGCGTACACGTGTGTACACGAACGGGCTACAAAAAACGCGGAAATATTCGCGATCAACGTTCGCACCTGCATGCTTGCACTGCCGTGTTGCATGCTGTGCTTTGTTTTACAATCCGGCAATCGTGCGGCGCGGTGCGCTTTGCCTATGTCGTTTCGAGCGTTACTGTGCCGATTTTTCGATTGAGCCCTTTTCGAATGGTACACAGGACGCCGCTGTGTGCGCACACAGGAAATTCAGATGCGGGCGATACGATGTTCCAATTCGCATCGCGATTTTCAGGGACGACGCATAGAAATCGCAATACTGCGGCCCCGAGTTTTCCTTTCACGCGAGAACGCGAAGTATGGATGATAAAATTGATACCGCTCGGGATCTTTGATTAGGTGAGACGAACTGGAGACCGTTGCTACTCTTTTTCCTTCGGTGAATTGCAGTTTTTCGCATTTCCTTCTCGCGATCAAGCGTCATAGTCTATCTCGGCAGGTACTTGTAATTCTTTAATTAATACACGGGGAGAATTTTCTCTTAAAATTTATCCCGAAAATCATGTAATCGTGGGACAAGACGGCATTTCGAAGAATTTTCGGAGAGTTCTTTGAAATTGTATCATACATTTTACTAGTAAGTATACTTAGTATACATTTTGTTGATAGAATGTATGGTAAAATGTGAAAAAACTCTCATACAGCTCTTCGAAATACCACGTTGTCCCACGATTACATGATTTTCAAGACTGAAAGCACTTTTTTCCTCTTAATTAAATTATAAAACATTTTACTTTCAAAATTACCCTAGAAATATAATAAATATGACGTAGTCTTTCTTTGATCATTTTAATTTGCCGTACAACTTGTTACAATTTTCCAAATCCTCAGTGCACACTACTCATAATCATGGCTGATATAAACTGCAAATTAGAAGCGCGCAAACAGCCTAATCGATAGAGAGCTCTAATTATCATCAGCCGAGTTTCCGGTGCGCCAACTAAAAGCGTAGATTGCGGACAAAGGAATTTATTTTGTTTGCGCGCTTATTTCGTTTACTACGCGCGACAAAATGAGAACGAGCCGTCCGGCGCAGCGCGAGATAATTGCGTCGCGAGGGGAACCGCTAATCAGTTTTACGCGCTGATATGACGATTGCACGTACGGAACGAGGCGGTGCTCGCGAGTGCGTTTCCGACCGGCAGGACGCAGCGTGAATTGAACCGTCGATTAAAATTGGATTTGTTAATTACTGCAGGGAACGTGGCGGCGGCGGCGGCGGCGGCGGCGGTGGCCGACGGGTCCCGATCCGGCTCATACCTTATTAAACCTTCATTTCGTAATTCCCACGCGCTGTCGTTTGTCATCGTCGTAATCAGCGGACAGCCCTCGTCGCCCCCGACGCGAGCCGCCGCGTTTCCCTCGTTCGCGAGAGAGGGGAGAATAACGCGATACTTGCATTTTAAGATATTACCCCGCCGCCGCGTCTTTCCGCATAATAATTTCCCGTGAATAATTAGCGAATTATTTGACTACCGTTAGAGCCTCGCAAACACGAGCCGCGCCCGCATTCGCAAACAATCGATGCCGGGAGCGATAGGTTTGTAAATACCCGCACAGACGCAATGCCCCGACTATTGATATAATATGCGCCAGTATTTCCGTTTTATTCATGAGTTTGAGGATATTAATCCGTATCATGTTTTTCAACACGCTCTTGCCTTTCGATTCTTCAATTTGTTGCCCGTGTATCTCGCGCAAAATGTGTTCGCCCCGTATCAATAATACGTATTACTCGCGTAATTACAGAAACACATTCATTAAACCGGAGCGTTGCGCTAATTGACGTGGGCGTTTATTAAAATACGCTCTTTAATCATAAATATTTTCGCTGGTCATCGCGATGTATATATCGATTCACAATATATACTGTCGCGCATTATGCGTATTATTACGGATGTTATTTCGCGATGCATTTATATAGCGCGCACATGCTTTACCGTTTCAATAATTCATCCGCCTTATATAAATCATGATAATCATAAAATTCACGTGTAAGAATACCTCGCAAATCCTATCCAGTTGAAGCGATATTATAAATTTCCACGTATATATACTTTGCGCTGGTTTACGTTAACAACATTACGAAATTCGTCAACTTTTTCATTGCCGGCTTTATCGTCGTCGCAAATTTCCGTCGCGCAAAGGACGTATCGTACTCGCGACTTAATTAAAAACGTATCGCCCTCGCGATAAAAATGCAAACGTCGCGCGTACGCTAGGCTCATTCGTCACGTCTCCCGGAGACGCGTACGGCGAGACCGCGGCGGCATCCCCGGATCATCCCGTTCCCCGATGGCGCGCTTATCATACGCGGCCCCGTGTGTCGCGATCGCCATTTGTACGCATACAAAACGCCCTTGTTCCCCCGAAAGCGCGGCTGGCGACGGTCGCGCATTTGTCAACCGCGAGGAGAGAGTCCGTGGCCGTCCGGAGCGTCTGCGAAACTTCGCCGTTATCTCTCGTCGTGTATTCGCCCGCCTGACAAATCGCCGACCCGCAGGGGGCGGCCGGCAGCGAGGGACGTTTCGAAACTCTTGTCCTCTCTCTCGAGAGAGACCAGAACCAAGATCGGGAGACCCTCCTCCTCCTCCCCGTCACGATCTTGCCGCGCGCGTCCTTGGCACCCCCCTCGCTCCATTCTCACGCGAGAATCGCATTACTCCTCCCACCCCCGTTCTCCCCCTCGCGCGCTCTGACCCTCCCGTTCATCATCCTCGCCCATCGGCGACCCGACCCACTTTCGAGATCTGTTCCGTTTCTCCTCTCGCACGAGAGGAACGCTATTGCGGCTTTGTACCATTATTTCGACAACCACACGCGCCTTTCGTGCGGTTTTCGTAGTTAAATGCACATGGTTAATTCGTTAATCATGGATGGATCGATGGAAACTGCTGAAACTTGAGCCTCGAGCCACGGATTGTGAAAAAGACGCGCTACGGAATAGTTCTGTTTATACTCTGGGGGGAAAAAAGACAGCAATCCATTTTGCGGCCCACAATTAGTAATCGAATTATTTGGATTGTTCGTAACACTCTAATCTTTTACGAATTTTACCCCGCGTAACTAACAATCGCAATTAGCTATTCTGTCTATATCCAAGATTTTTAAGTAATTAGTTCTGTCAATATTCAGTAACGCAAAGATAACTTTCACTTAAGAGGCACTAACCGAGATATGAAGTCGCTTAACTACAAAAAAAAGCGGTAAGAATTTTTCCCAGAGTAGAGTTACGAACAATCCAAATAATTCAATTACTAATTGTGGGCCGCAAAATGGATTGCTAACTGTCTTTTCTTTCCCAGAGTGCTTACTGCAAATGACGAACAATTAGTACACGCTAAATTGTATACTAATTTTATACTAGTAATTACTGCCACATTTTTTGTTGGTGCAAACGCACGCACGGTGCTTTATTTTTGTCATTATTTTTTTGACGCAAGATCAAATATCGACTAAAATACATACACGCTATGCACCAACTCGGCGCATATACTCCGATACTGCATGATTTATAACACCGTACGTCCGCGGGACGTGCTCGCTCAAAAGCTTCATCCATCATAAATGTTCGATGA